TTTATATATCTTAAACACATTATTTGAATTATTTGTTTATCTGCTCTACTGAAATGAACTAACTCACATGAATACACGTGTAATTATATAGCTTTCAGATTTTTAGCTTTCATATAATTGCTTATTTTTTTATATTTGTGTAGTATTTTTATTTATTATAAAATATGTCATTTGTTTCAGAGCGACACGGTGACGCAGTGGCTAGCACTGCTGCCTCGCAGCAAGAAGGTTGCTGGTTTGAGTACTTGAGTCACTATTATGAGTACTTCTTTAACATGCTAATTATTTATTAGCTCACAAATTCATTACTGCAAAAACATCCATGCATTCGCAGCTCGCAGTGTTGTGGACTGTGAGTCTACGATAGGACCAAGAAGTGATGCCCTGCAGCTAGGAGAGCTGATTAACCCACAACTGGACAGTTATTTTTTTTTTTTCAGAGGAGGGGTTGGGCCTAGGGACAGAATCTATGTAAATAACAGCTTTTGTGGGTGATTGTTCGAGCTCAATTGGCACCTCTGTAATGGGCTTTTGTAAAGTGGATCAGTGAGGAGAATGGCACGGCTCTATGCCACAGAAAACAAGCTATTGTGGGCTCTGTCTGTTCAGTGCCAGGGACACAGAGAGTTGCTGAGAGAAATTGATCTGGCCGGGCTTAACCCCTAGTCTTTCATGTGTCTGTGGCATTGGCCAGGATTGGCTTTGTTAGAATCAGCCTACGCAAGGTCTTTCCGACCCAATGATCAGCACTTTCCCCCCGGGAGATGGGAGAGAGGCAGTGGACTGCACTGGAGCCACCTTTATTCTCCATTGTGCCCATGGGCACATCAATAGTGTCGGGTAGAAGAAGAAAAAAACTGCTGGGAAAGACACTTTGGAATAAAAACCCTGGGGAATCAGCAACCACTTGTTGTTGTGGCTGACCATTAAAAGTTCAAATCATGCTTGTGTTTGGATTAATTGTTTAGTTTCACTATTGCCATCACCTACAAAAAAAAAAAAAAAAAAAACTTTGCATGCCTTTTATTAATGGGATAGTATATGCTAATATGACAATTAGCTGGTTCTCAAATTATATTAAGTGGCCTTAATCACATTTAAATTATTAATCTGCTACATTACACTTATTGTACTTTGATTAGATTGTAACTATATTTATATTTACACTGTTGACCATACCTTACACGCTTACATACCCTCATTAAAAAAAAAACTTTGAATCAACTTTTTAAAAAATGACAGAAAATTGTTACAGCTATTCTTTTTCTCAAAGTAAATTTTAACCTTGGTTCAAACTATAAGATACTTTAATCAAAACAAAAATACATGTTTTGCTCAAAAAAAAAAAAAAAATAAAACATTTACACAAAATAAAACAATTGTTTAATACAGAGACATTAAATATATATATATATATATATATATATATATATATATATATATATATATATATATATATATATATATATATATATATATATATATATTTTTTTTTTTTTTTTTTTTAGAAAAACTACTTTACTTTACTTTAGAAAACTCTCTGTTTTAACCTTAGATCAAAGTATAATCTTTGGACCAACCTAAAAAATACTGTATTTAGATGTTTGTTACAGCTAAACATATAAACTGACATTACAGTTTTGACTTAGTTAAAATGAATTTTAATCTTAAACAAAATATTTATTCTTATAAATATTTATTTATTTTTAAAAACATTACTTAAGTTTACCTGGGGGGTTAGGTTTAAAAATAAATAAATAAATAAAGCAGGTTATAATCAGAAGCCAATGGTTACCAGCACTTTAATAATAATAATAATAATAATAATAATAATAATAATAATAATAATAATAATGATAATGATGATGGCGATGTTGTGGCGCAGTAGGTAGTGCTGCTGCCTCACAGCAAAAAGTCTCTGGTTTGAGCCTTGGCTGGGTCAATTGGCGTTTCTGTGTGGAGTTTGCATGTTCTCTCCTCTGTCGTGTGGGTTTCCTCCGGGTGCTCTGGTTTCCCCCACAGTCTAAAGCAGAGGTCGGTAACCCAAAATGTTGAAAGAGCCATATTGGACCAAAAAAACAAAAAACAAATATGTCTGGTGCCACAAAAAATTTAAAGCCTTATATAAGCCTTATAATGAAGGAAACACATGCTGTATGTATCTATATTAGCTATATTAGCCTACTATAAAAATGACTAAATTGGCTACAAATACATAATGAGCCTTCATGATTAAATAGCCACTGAAATAAGGTGGTTGATATTTATTTTGTTGTCATTAAAACACTTCAGCACAGCCTCTTGTCTTTTAGTGTTATTAATTTTATAATTTCTTCTTGCGGCCCATCAGAGTTCACATACCTGCAAAAAAACGCGTTGAATATCGGTCACATCACAGGCAATTGAATATGCTGGCACTGAATTAATGTCCTTGGTTTGCTGATCGGTGATGTTACCTACCATTTTAATAGCCCTTTCCTTCACTGTCTTAGTGGAGAAAGGTATATCTTTATTTTTTGTATTATCTTGGTTTTGTTTTTAAAGTTTGCAAATAGGTGTTCTAATATGTCATACCATATTTGAACGGTTTTCCATGCTTTATTATCTTCCGGTTTGTTTGCAACAGCACCTGCCTGGCATCCCGCCCTGCTGATAGAAACGTGTGTCGCAGGCTATGACGCAAATCTTCGTTGACAGAAATGTTGAAATTAAATATTAATTCTACACACTTTGACAGCATTTGAAAACATTAAAAACGTTTGTCCTCCTATAGAAATCAAATTAAAACAAAAAAATATATTAACCCTCCCCCCAGTGGCGCCCCCAGAAAATTTTCTTAGGGGTGGCCAGAAGAGGCCGCACCAAATCTTGGGGTGGCACACAAAAAAAATAATGAATTCAGTGTAATGATATATTTTTGTTTCTGGTAAATTAAATAATGTAGTTTTTATTAATTTAATTAATTCGACTTGAAATATTGCAATTTATTCTTTGAAATAATTCAGCAAGTACATGTGCAAACCAAATAAAAATCTATGTTTATTTTAAAAACACTTTTCATATACTGTATAAATAACTTCTTTTTTTACGTGCCTTTATTGTACATCATACGAGATATGCCATGTCTAAAATTAATGAAGATTGAGTTTATTATTCCCAGAGATGGGTTGCAGCTGGAAGGGCATCCACTGTGTCAAAATGTGCTAGATAAGTTGGCGGTTCATTCTGCTGTGGTGACCCTGGATTAATAAAGGGACTAAGCCGAAAAGAAAATGAATGAAAGAATAATGAGTTTATTAATAACCCAAACAAATGAACAAACTGAACAAAAGGGATTACTACACACTCACTATACCTAATAATATTATTTATCCAAATTGCTTTTTGAACCATTTTATTATGCAGCTTCTTCTATTGATATACTGTAGCTTAAGGTAAATATTAAATAGCCATTGCTGTCTATTGAAGGTGTGTGCGTGCTGTCAAGGACGATCGGGGAGGGTAGTAGTGGTGGTTCTAGTTTAAATGACACCCTGGGCGATGCTTAGTGAAAGTGAAAGTAACATCATCATCATCATCATCATCATATTATATAAACTTTAAACGACTTTCAAAACTCGCTGCGTGCCGACACCTCTGCACAAAAGGCTGTTACTCCGGTTTCACGGCGCATGAGCGGTGCCTATTATGTCGGCGTGCATGCAAACAACCAACCGGGATTCACACAGGAGTGCGTGAGGCGCGCGGGAATGGTTTTCCGCGCGCATGCGTCAGTTTGCTTTCACCAGCATTGAACCAGAGGGGGAGAGCTACGTCAGTAACACCAACAATAATTTAGTGACTGCATTTTATTTATTTATTTATTTATTTATTTATTTATTTATTTATTTATTTATTTATTTATTTATTTATTTATTTATTTATCTATCTATCTATCTATCTATCTATCTATCTAAATATTGGGAATTTATGAGTTCATTTAAATCAATAATGTCAACCGCAAAATTATATTGGGGTGGCCACAGGGGTGGCCAGAGTTTACCGTGGGGTGGCCGTGGCCACCCCTGGCCACCCCTTGGAGGCGCCCCTGCCTCCCCCATCTTTTTGCATTTTCAAACATTTTTGAAAAAGCTCCAGGGAGCCACAAGGGCAGCGCTAAAGAGCCGCATGCGGCTCTAGAGCCGCGGGTTGCTGACCCCTGGTCTAAAGACATGTGGTACAGGTGAATTGGGTAGGCTAAATTGTCCGTAGTGGAGGGGCATCTGCTGCGTAAAACATACGCTGGATAAGTTGGCGGTTATTCCGTTGTGCCGACCCCAGAATAATAAAAGGACTAAGCCGAAAAGAAAATGAATGAATAATGAATAATAAATGAATGAATAATAATAATACCTATGGATTATGATGAAACATAGAGAATACACAGCAAATTCATTGGTGTTAAATTTCAAGTGTTGTGGTAATTCAGAGTAAAGTGTTAAAATTCTAGAGTTAGATAAAGGTAAAATAACCCTCTCGGCGTTAGAAGCTGATTTGCCTCCTTGTCATACAGAGTAACATGTATCTACCTTTGTAGAAAACCTTTGTATTTGAGAAACTAATTAGAGTGTTTGAAATCTCACCACACCCTCATTCACCTGGCCCTTAAATTGGTCAATTAGTTTAGTCCACTAGACAGAGTGAATGACCACAAATAAGTGAATTCAGACACCTGCTGTTGAACACCTGCTGTTAACAAGCACAATCACTGAAGGAATAAGAAATTGAAGGAAGAAATAAAACTACAGACACAGCCTCACACCAAACCAGCTGAATTAAAACAGAGGATTAAACAACTCCATTAAATAATAGTATAAGCAGCTTCACTGATACAGTTTGACTTCATTTCTGTAAGAATATTTTTTTTATAAGAAATATTTCATTTGACCTCACCATCATAGAGATCAGAGGCTGCTTATTTGAGCTCTTGAAGCTTTGCGCTTATATCATAATGTTTCTGTTATACACTGTAAAAAAAATCTGTAAAATAACAGTTAAATGACTGTATATTTTAACAGATTTTTTCCGTATACACGTATTACGGGTGTTTTTCCGTTTATATACATTTTCGAATTGCATTGTGGGAAGGGGATCGCAGCTCAGACAGCGTTTGATGGACACCGGGACATATTTCTTCCTCTGTTTTTTCCCTGGTAAGTACGATTAATAAAACATATAACAATATTTTAGTTAAAAGACTGCTTTATTACCTTTTTATCGTTATTTAAAATGATTTTTGTCTTTTATGAAGCGCCCATGGAAAGTACAGCAGTGAATTACGTTTAATATTGTTAATAAGATCAGACTTTATTTCATTAAGATCAAACTGAGCTATGAGTGGTTAAATGTAATTTAAACAAGCATTTACCTAATGATTTTTTACCTTTTTATACGTTTTTCTCATCAGTAAATATGATATCTGTTCATTTACAGTTGTTTGTCCGTATTTTTCTAAACTGCCGTGCGCGGGAAGTGGCGTGACGTCCAATCACCCACTCACTCCCTCTGCACCTGACTGGATTAACGGTAAACGTCAGTTTGTCTGTAAGAGTGTAAAAGGTATGTTAATTATTTTATAGAAATATAAATGTTTTCTTTGTACAGTGCATTGAACAAGGGATAGCATTCAAAGTTTGTGTCACTGTGTAGTTTGGTTGATATACGTTACCTTTAATGAACACTAACGTTAACGTGTTTCAAACGCTCGTAACACCTGACCGTCTGTGTTTGTTTGCATATTAATGACTAATTTCATATTTTTACTGACGTTATCAAATGTTAGCTTTAGTTTGACCGACGTATTAAGGCTGTGTGACCGAGTTTCAGTGGAACAGCTTTGCTGGTTTTTAAGTAAGTTATAAGTTAGACTCGCGTGAATTGGAGGCATTTGTAACTCGGTATGAGGGGAAATACACACTCGTAAAGTTTTTATTAGTGGTGGGCCGTTATCAGCATTAACGTGCTGCGTTAACGCGAGACTTATCGCGCGGTAAAAAAAAATATATCGCCGTTAATCTATTCTCAACGTTGGGTTGGGAGCTGGGTGACTTTCATACTTTGATATTTTAGCGCGGATGTATACCTGACCGGTGAGCCGTCTGACAAACAAGTGCCCTTATGAATCAAATCAGCAGGATGCCTGACTTTAACTGCAGTTCGGCAGTTTCACTTTAACTCATGAACATTTCATTCATCCCGCGTGACAAACTGGGGTAATAGACGCAAATAAGAAGCAAGAACTGATGAGAGTGTTATGGAATTTAACAACGCTCGCCAAATGGAACGAAAAAAAAACTTCCGCATTTCGCGACGCGTGTTTGTGTGTACAGAGATAACAGAGTGATACAGTACGTGTGTGACATTTAAAAGTATTTATAGTGTTTACACTGTCATGCGTTTTCGGCCTCAAATACAACGTGTACCTTAAAGCACACAATTAAATGTTTGTTGTAGTCGAGTTGAACTGTCATTGATATTTATTTATTCACTTTTAAGAACCTCAAGGGCAGCTAATATGAAGATATAAAGATGAGTTGTTCTTCCACAGTCTTAAAATTCTTCAAACTAATTGTCAGTTCGATTCATTATAGCAAACAATACTTTCTTTACTATTAGGAGATCAGGAGTTTTATTTTAATGAAACCTTGATAATAGAGTGAACTACACATGGTGTTATCGCAAATGAAATCTTTTTATGTAGATTTTAAGTGAGTTTTATTTGCACAAATAAGGTTCACTGATATTTTGCTTTGTTGACTTTCAGGTTCTTTCATTTTGGTTATAAGTACATGTTACAGGTAAATTCTTAGATTCAATCCAAACTGAATTTGAATTAATACGGACAAATGAAATAAAATACACCTGGGATTTTAAATGTTTTCATTTTTTTATTATTCACAACGTTTGTGAAGTCTAAATGTAGACTGTCTCAAACTGAATAAGTGTTATTTTTGTTGTAGGTGTGTTGGTGTAAAAATTGATGCTGACTGGTTAGTACTGCATTTTTAACCATAACAATAATGATTTATATTTAGCATTGCATCTATTGTCATTTTACCAAGAATGTGTTTGCTCTTTCAGAACTCAGGCAGTTGTGCTGGACCCTCTGTACCTTATACAGGAGATGACTGTAAACTTTCAAGTTTAAGAGGTAAAATGTTCAGGGTTTTTCTGTTTGATTTTGAGTGTTTTGTAGATATAAGGTTCACTGATATATGATATAAGATTTGCTTTATGTTTATGTTGTCATTTTAGTTATAAGTACAAGGTACAGGTACATTTTCACAGCAATCTAAATTAAAATCTTAAATCTTACATTCAATCCAAACTGAATTTGAATTAATATGGACAAATGAAATAAAATACACCTGGGATTTTAAATGTTTTCATTTTTTTGTTATTTACAAAGTTTAAAGTTTAAAAGTAGACTACGTGCTGCATGTTTCAAACTGAATGAGTGTTATTTTTGTTGTAGGTGTGTTGGTGTAAAAAGTGATGCTGACTGGTTAGTACTGCATTTTTTAACCAAAAAAATAAACAATGATTTATATTTAGCATTGCATCTATTATAATTTTACCAAGAATGTGTTTGCTCTTTCAGAACTCAGGCAGTTGTGCTGGACCCTCTGTACCTTATACAGGAGATGACGGTAAACTTTGAAGTTTAAGAGGTAAAATGTTCAGGGTTTTTTCTGTTTGGTTTTAAGTGTTTTGTACATATAAGGTTCACTGATATTTTGCTTTGTTGATTTCCAGGTTCTGTAATTTTGGTTATAAGTACAAGGTACAGGTACATTTTCACAGCAATCTAAATAAAAATCTTAAATCTTACATTCAATCCAAACTGAATTTGAATTAATATGGACAAATGAAATAAAATACAGCTGGGGTTTTAAATGTTTTCATTTTTTTTATTATCCACAAAGTTTGTAAAGTATAAAAGTAGACTATGTGCTGCATGTTTCAAACTGAATGAGTGTTATTTTTGTTGTAGGTGTGTTGGTGTAAAAATTGATGCTGACTGGTCAGTACTGCATTTTTATAAATAATACAAAAAATTAAAATAAAAAATGATTTATATTTAGCATTGCATCTATTGTCATTTTACCAAGAATGTCTTTGCTCTTTCAGAACTCAGGCAGTTGTGCTGGACCATCTGTACCTAATACAGGGGATGACAGTAAACTTCCAAGTTTAAGAGGTAAAATGGTCAGGGTTTTTGTTTGATATTGATGCTTTTATTTTTATTATTTGGCAAACCAATTACTTGTACCTATATTTTTACTAAGTGTTTACATGAACACATTTTGCTTCAGTAAGTTTTGAATTTTGTTAACATGTATTCAAACTAAAAAGTACTGGGTTGATGTGGGTGTTTTATCTGGGTTTTTTAACCTGCTACTGTAATCTGTTAAATGAACCAAGCAGTTATTTATTATTATTATTTATTTTTGCATCATTTGAAATGTTACAAGTTCTTTATTTTGGTAATGTCTGTTTAAAGTGATAAGGAAATAACTGGTCCACTGCTAAATCTCTTTTCTTTTCTCTCTTAGCCACCTGATGATGAGAGAGACAATTTCAATGTGGGCATCTTGATGGTGAGCCAGGCCTTCATGCTGATTTTGTGACCGTTTAATCTATTTAGCGTCATTGTAATAACTTTATTTCAGGATGCAAAACTGGCTAAAAATCTACTTTAAATTTCAACATTAATTGTATGATAGTGTGGTTGATTTAACATTTTATTTAATGTTGGGTTCATTGTAAAAAAATAAGATTTAATTTTGGTTGAATAAATGCTGATTTTGGGACAGTTTTGTCTATTTATTATCATAGAATTACCATTATTTCAGGGTGGAAAACTGCCTAAAAATCAGTGGTGACTTTTTAACGTTGTTTCAATGATAGTTTGATTGATGTTTTAACATTTATTCAATGTTAATTTAACGTAGGTTTGCTCTCTGGGTAAGAACTAACTTAAAAAATGCGAAAAACTTATGTATGTGCCACTTGAATTTTGTATCACGTTATTGGCATGTTATGGAATTTAACTATGGCAAATAAGTGAGAGGAGATGGAAAGCTATGATGTCTACACGTTTTCCTGAAACATTTTCAAGGTCAATTCTTTCTTGTATAAAGATAGTGGAAAAGAAAGAAATGTAAAACAAAATGGTTTATAATTTTTTTACATTTTTTTTCTTTCCTTTATTGTTTTTTTTTGCCTTATTTTTGTTCTTGCACTATAATTATTTCTTGTAATATTTGATTAAGTAAATATATATTTTTTAATTTCTTTTAAATTATGTAGCAGACATGTATTTGAATAATTTTACATAATAATTATAATATTTATAATATTATTAATAATATTAATAATTTACCATATAGGTGTGCATATGTGTACCCATATATGTACATGTAATATAGGAAAACAGCCAATTTTATATTTGTCACATATTTCAAAAACCTAAATCAAAACCTATATTAAACCATATGTTTATATAGGTTCTTTCCATGTGGACGTGTACCAGACCCAACACACAACTCACTTTTCTTTTCTTTTTTTCAGAAGAAGAGTCCACAGTCACAATAACAAGATCATTGAGCTGTCCCCTAATTGTGGTGAGCTACATGTTTAGTCTCTTATGTGCTAAACATTATGTAGCCTAAGGAAGCAGCCCTGACTCTGGAGTTTATATGAAGGTCTGTTTTTACATTTTTAAGTTTATTTCATTTTTATAAGACAAGTAAGTTGATACATGTTTGTTGTATTTACAACAGGAGCATGCTGAGTAACTATCCAGAATGTAGGTCCATAGCAGAAAAAAGTGCACCAAGCAGAAACATACCATCTAAACTCCTTCGATTCCTGTCAGACCAGAAAGACTTTCAGAATCCTTGGAAGATTTAAAGGTAATTAAGCAAACCGGTAATACTTTATAATAACTAAACACTATTGATTAATTTATTAAGCATTAGCAAAAAGTTCTGTTAAGCTTTAACTCTACATTAACAGACCTTAGTATACAGTTTATAACTACAGCTGCAAATGCTGTAATCTTGACTTATAAGCACATCTATAATGTGCTTAATGATTTTGTTTTTATATTTTGTTAATGATTAATTTTTCATTACTAAATTTAGTATAGCATTATTTACAAACCAGTAATTTAAGAATAGTTGGTGTATTTTTTTTCTAATCATTCAGAATGTGTAAGTAAATGGTTAATAAACTATTTAAACTAACATTTATATATCTTATTATTCAGGCATATAGTAATAGTTGGGCAGCACAGTGGCTCAGTGGCTAGCACTGTTGCCTCACAGCAAGAAGACCTCCGGGTGCTCCGGTTTCCCCCACAGTCCAAAGACATAAGCTATAGGGAAATTGATTAACTTAATTGGCTGTTATGTATGAGTGTGTTTGTAAATGTGTGTATGGGTGTTTCCAAGGGCGTACTCATGCTATGCACAGTTGCCTTGAAACTGGAAGCGTGCTTGTCTCCCCCGACGACCCGCACTCACATTGCATTCGAGCCTGAGCATGCTTACATCATCAATAACGCACTGTTCAGTTTAACAAGTGCTCTCACTCAGCACAGTGGAGATTTCTTTATATTGTTATATCGTTTTAGTTGTTCAATATGCAGTGACACGCAGTCAAATATTTCACCGAACAGATCAGCCACTTTTGACGCTCATAAACAATCAAAGTCAACGTGCTGCAGGTACTAGGAGGTTTGCTAAAGGTGCAGCTGTTGTGCAGTGAGGGGTTTGTGTCTTTAATCTATGACAGTTTGCAAGGGACTTTGATTTGGATAAATTAACCACTATTACTGTTCAATGAACGCAAACCCCTTACTGCACCACAGCTGCGCCTTTAGCAAACCTCCTATTCCTGCAGCACAAGGAGTTTATGATTGTTTATTAACATCAAAAGTGGCTGATCTGTTCGGCGAAATTCTTGACAGCGTGTTACTGCATCCCAAACGACTAAAACAATATAACTAAAGAATTCTCCTCCGTGCTGAGAGCACCTCCTAAACTAAACAGCGCATCATCGATGATGTAAGAGTGCTCAGGCTCGAATGCAATGTGAGTGCGGGACGTCAGGGGAGACGGGAGGGAGGACAAGAGTGCTTCGGCCTGGTTCAAGGCAACTATACATAGTGTGAGCACACACTAAGCTGAAGGAAAATACATGAATGAATAGTAATTGTTATACTTGTATATAAAGTATAAAAAATAAGTATATAAAGTATATACAATACTTATTTTAATAAGTGCTTTTGTTAACTTCATCCAGTTTTGTAGCCTAAAGTGAGGATTGTTTATGCTTTGTAAATCGCCTTATAAATCACAATTAAAGATTCAGTTATATTCTAAAAATGAAATTCATTTTATTGTATTAAATGAAAAATAAATCTTATTTAAAATAAAATTACTGTACAGTTTAAACATAGCTAAATAACACTGAAATGTTGCATCGTAATATATCATTAAATTATTTTATTGTTGTTTTATCCAGTTTTATGTTATATTTTGGCACTCCTGCTATTCAGCAAGGTTTAACTGTCGTTTATAAGGATTTATAAATCATAAATAATCCTCACTTTAGATTAGGCCACAACTGGAAGAAATTTTGTAAATAATGCAATATTAAATATAATATTATATATATATATATATATTATTATTATTATTATTATTATTTTTTTTTTTTTATCTATAAATAGTAATGTAAAATCAATCATTTAAGTTTGATAACACAATTATTAAACTGTAGCTGTAGCAAATTTTGCAGCTGTATTTATAACCAACTGCTAACATCTATTAATGTAGAGTTAATGCTTAACAGATAATGAATTCACTATTTGCTAATGCTTCATAAATGAATCATAGCCCGTAGTTATTATAGTGTTACCAGCATAGTTTGTTTATATTACTGTTTCTCTCTTGCATTATTGTTCCGAATATTGTCAAAAGTACCTACACTTTATTTTGAAAAATCTTAAAGTGATTTCTCACCCAAAACTGAATAATTGATCATTCATAATTTACCTACTCTCTTGACATTTTAAACCTGTATGACTTTGTTTCCTCTGCAAAACACAAAATATCATATTTTAAAGAATGTTGCTCCTATTTCTCCTATTTTGTTCTGTTGAAGTATGTCAGTCAGACAGGCTTGAAATGACAAGAGTGAGACATGAAGATGATGATAAAACTTTCATTTGTGTAAACTATTGACATGCAAGGAATTACCCCAGTTGTAAGTGAAATGTCATTAGTAATGTTTTTTTTTTTTTACAGCCATTGAAGTATCAGTATTGGAGCGGAAGAAGACCCAGTTGTATCGTCTGTTTCCTGCCATCTTGCAGTTAACCTGGTTTCTTAATGTAAAGTACTTGTAATTTGCCCACTTGTCCTCAATTATCTTAAAGCTAACATTTAAAACTAATTTGCTTTGAGATTATTTGCCAAGACTTCTCACTGTGTGATTCACATGTCAATATGTATTATTGTGTGTATAACTTGCTATTTGGAATTCAAATGATTTGTATTCATTAAAGAATCTGTTTTAATTGCAAAGTTGTTTTTGTACTAATCATTGTAAGTTCACAGTTAACAAACTATTTACTGCTTCTCTACACATACAGTATGGAATACATGTTTTGTTTTACTATGGTAAAGCATTAGTAGTGTATTTCCCATATGTATAGGTTTATCCTTACCAACTGCTATTTCTATGCTGCTTGAAGAGCATTAAATTAGTAAAATAATATTTTTTTTACAGTAGGTATCCCATTAAAACAAAGAATCTGTTCATTTTTTCACTGTATATATACTATTAAAAAACAAAAAAGTCCTCTTTTTACAGTAAGTATACAATTAAAACACAGAATCTGTCTGTTTTTTTACAGTAGGTATACTATTAAAACACAGAATCTGTCTGTTTTTTTACAGTAGGTATACTATTAAAACACAAAATAGTTCCGCTTTTTTACTGTTGGTATACCCTTAAAAACACAGAAAATAACCGTTTTTTTATATAGAAAACCCTTAAATTACTATAAAATGGTTCGTTATTTTACAGTAGTTTAACCGTCAAAAAACGGATATTTTTTAGTTTTTTTAATGTGGACACACTGTCAATTAACAGAAGTTTTCCGTTTTTAATTTACGGTAAAATATTTGTGTAATGAGCTGCCAGTACATTTTACCGTTTTTTTACGGAATTTTTTTTTAGAGTGTAGCTGTGTTTCTAAAACTCATTAGCTATAGCAAGAGAGATCAAGAGAAACTATACTGTTTATGCTTAATAGTTATAGACTTAATTTCAGGTGTTTATTAAGTTGATTCTTAAAGATATGCAAATATAGTTGAATTAAAGCTGCGTGGGACAATACTACTGGTAGTCTGCTGCTTGTCATAGAAAATTCAACAAACAATTAGGATGCAATTAATAATCATAGTGTTATGCACTAAACATTCAAGCTCCAACATGCTCATTATGACACACAGGCATCAAGAATCAGGACATGAACCTCAACCGTGGTTGCTAAAAAAAAAAAAAAAAAGCTGCATAGTTCATGCTGCAATGCATGCTGGGTGCCAGCATAGTACAAAGCTCCCAGCATGCATTGCAGCATGAATAAATTATGCAGCTTTATGTTCTTACAATCTCTTTCTTTTCCTTTATTTTGTGTTGTTTTTGGGAGGTGATAGTTGAGTAGATAGTTTTTTTTATTGATTTTTATTTTTTTGTTTGTCACCATCATTGAGATTCAAAGACTAATTATTGATGTCTGGGTGTTTTTGAGTTCTGCCATAGATCAAACATTCTCATTGTAAATATTGTTTTTATTTTATTGGAGCTTCAGTGGTTTCATTTATGTTTATTATTTATTTCTCACACATAACTAATATGACATTGAATTAGAAAACAAGCAGGAAAGGATGGTTATGTTATCATTAATAATCTCTTCAAACAGACACTTTAATATTTTTTCAGCTTTCCATGCTATATGTACAAGTAGTGTAATTAACACTATTTATAGCAGCCAAAATAAAAGACATTTACAGCAAGAAGTTGAAGAACCTGACTAAAGCAGACTCTGTCCTCCATCATGGTGACTTCAAATGAACAACAGAAATTTCATTAAGGGCTTTTGTTCACATGACAGAAATAAAGTCAACGGTCAGTAATAGGTGAAGCTCCATGATAAGTTGTTTAATTTGATGAGTTTTTTTTTAAAGATGTTGAAAAATAACATTTTTTATTGTGTAATTTGTTTTATTTTTATTGATTATTATTTTATTTAGAGTTTTTTTTTTTCTCAGTTGATTTCATCTTTGGTTTTGGCTTGTGTTGGCTTCAGTGATTCTGCTTGTTAACAGTTGTTCATCAATAATTCTCAATCCTCCTTTAATTAGACACTTAATTGTCTCATTAACTTCATCACTGTCTGAGTGTTCAGCCCTCTGTAGTGAGGACACTAGTGAGGATTTTGCTCTGGAATTTAAGGCTTACGTGTGTTCGAATGAAAAATACAGACAATGGGATTTGTTTTTAACAGAAATATTCTGGAAACTGAATTTACGAATCTAAAATGTTGAAAACAGCAGATTACTGGCAACCACTGCTGCCAGTATTTTGACATACATTTAACAGATATTTTACACAATAAGAGTTTGCTAATTAACACTCTGGGTGTTAAAAATTTTAACACTTTCAAAAATGTTATTTTAACACTTATAGTGGTTCCCATATAAACACTGAGGGAGTGTTAATTTTAACTCTAAGGTAGTTAAATCTACCAAATCTAAAATTTGCAGTGTGAGATCGATAAAACAAACAGACTGTTGAATGTGCTTTTAACAGAAATATTCTGTAAACTGAATTTATGAATGTGAAAAACAGCAGATTACTGGCAACCACAGCTGCTGGTATTTTTCCGTAAAATCTAAAAATGAAAAAAAAGAAAGAAAAACAGCAAAACGGTTTTTGTGTCACCATTGTGGAGGATAATAGCGTCTCTGTTCAAGTCCAAGATGAACTGAGAAAATTTGATGTTATGCTGCATCTTTTTTTGTTTAAAGGTAACTGTGTAGTTACTAATGCAGTCAAAATCTGTTTGCTACTAGCAATCACACATGAAAACATTATTGCATCTAAAGACTTTACATTTTTGTGCGCTAAGCTATGATTTTGTAAAATAAACAATGTGTTAGTTCATGAAATATGGTTATTTTTTGTAAATTTATACAGTTATATAAAACTTCCATGTTTTTCACAGAAAGATTCTGGCAACCACAGCTGCTGGTATTTTTTCGGAAATTTAACAGATATTTTACACAATTAGAGTTTGGTAATTAACACTCTCTTGGTGTTGACAATGTTAACACTTTCAAAAGTGTTATTTTTAACACTTATAGTGGTTCCCATATAAACTCTGAGGGAGTGTTAATTTTAACTCCAAGGTAGTTAAATCTACTATCTAAAATTTGCAGTGTACAAGTATTACTGTAAATTTATTTAAGTGAATTTAAAAAAATAGTTTACCCCAAAATTTTGTTCATTCACTCAATTTTTTTAAACTTTTATTTATTTATTTATTTATTTATTTATTTGTTTGTTTGTTTGATTGTTTAATATTTTTCTTGCTAATTTTTGTTGAACAGAAAATAAGATATTTTGAAGAAAGCTTAAAACCGGTAACCAGTGACTTTCATAGTATTTGTTTTAATATATTGAAAGAATGTAATAGTTACAGGTTTTCGGCTTTCTACAAAATATCTTCTTTTGTTTTAAATGGAAGAAAGAAATTAATAAGAGTCTGGAGCCACTTCAGGGTCGGTTGTGTGTAAATTTCTATTTTGGTGTCAACTATCCCTTTAACATAATCTTTATAGTTAACTATGCTACTTTTGTCTTTAATCAAACCTTTTCTGCCCCACTGCCAACTTGCTAGTTTATAATAAAGTGCCTTTTCATAGCAGTATGTAAAACTTGGAAGCTACTTAAAAAAAGCAAAAACAACTAGAATAGTAGTGTATTAAGAATACTTCATTATACTCTTTAGTACAGTATATCTCAGTCAAAAGTTTAAGTACATGTACAGTGCAGAGCAAGTAAAAACTTTTCTCTTTTTAGAAAAGTGAAGTATATTCATTAATTATATTTAATTAATTATATAGAGGAACATAAGAATTGCATTTAGAACAGTCTTATTTTCAGTTTGTAAGAAGTACTGTATACAAACAAAACACGTGAATAAACTTCTTTAGGGTATGACATGTAGATTTATGAAACACTGAAAGCGTCATCTGACTGTGAAGAACCCATGAGTTGGGGACAAAACGTAATTATTTCTAGATAATATGATTTTTCAAATGCTCCAGGGACTCTTCATGAGAGGGACGAGTCTGGACACATCCTACTGGCCTACTTCACATAGCACTTTGTGGAGCAGAGTGGTAAGCATGAGGGAGCTTTTTTCTTGGAACAGATCCCAGGATGTCTGAAAACCCTGGTGAAATTGCCAATTGCCACAAGGTTAAATAAACTGGGTCACTGAGTTTGGACAGCGGCTGGTATTTTAAATAGCCCCACCTGAAAATACTTCCTGGTCTATATACAGTAGGTTTGTCCTTACTCCAATCACTCCAAGCTCATACCAGTGGGTGGTAATAACATCAACTTTTGGAAAATATACTTTGGTCATTTTATTTACGACACTGATAAAAAAAAAAAAATATGAAGAGTTCAGATGCAAAACCTCTGTGATTTTGCTCTTAAATTAGCGTTTATGCCTCACAGTAAGAAAGTCACTAGTTTAAGTCTCGGTTGAGCAAATTGGCCTTTCTGTGTAGAGTTTGCATGTTCTTCCTGTATTGGTGAGGGTTTTCTCCAGGTGCTCCAGTTTCCCACACAGTCCAAAGACATGCGGTACAGGTGAATTGGGTAAACAAAATTGGCCATAATATATGAGTGTGTGTGTGTAAATGCAGGAGTGTATGGGTGTTTCCCAGTACTACATTATTGCTGGAAGGGCATTCACTGCATAAAAACATAGTGGGTGGTTTTTTTCTGCGGTGATGACCCCTGAAATAAAGACTAAGCCAAAAATAAAAAATAAAATGAATGAATGGATTAGAATTTATTTGCTCTGTGTGTAGGTTCTGTAATTTCAGCTTTTTAAAGTGAAATGACTGAACAGAAATATAGGATGCTCATTTTAGAGCAAAAATATTGCTGACCAAAACTATTAACATTCTGTCATTTCTGTCATTCACTCATCTTTCAATTGTTTCAAATTTGTTTATTGAATATGAATATACTGAATATTTTGAAGAATGATTTACATGGTTGCCATTTCCCAAGTGTTTTATTTCTACAGTGGATGGTTACTGGTTTCCAGCATTCTTCAAAATATCCTACAGTATGTTGTGTCCAGTAGGCAAAAAGAAACCACTTGAATGTGAATTTACATTTTTGTGGGGTGAACTATCTCTTTAAAACAGGTT